AATATCCTTCGCTAAAATTGCTATGTCGTCCGCACCTTACGGGGCGCAGCACCTGTTCTTGCCACTCCGGTAGGTCTCCCTTCTCGACTCTTTACTTTGAGGTGGAATACTTTGAACTGAGGGCAATATGTTAATACATTAGGAAAGGGGAAAATTAGTAAATTTAAGCTTAGAGGCTAATTGTAAGGAATCACTTGTGTGATTATTATTATACAATCACATGACTTGATAACGGTTCTGAATAAAGCATAACGCAGTGAATATCGCGTCCCATTACGGCTTGCTCAAAAGCTTCAATAAAAACAGGTCAAAATTGAAATAATTCGGAATCGAAAAAAGGAACTCTATCCACAGACCCAGCAATTTCGAATCTTGCAACAATTCACCCTCTTAAACACCTAATTGAGCACACTGCCGCCGGCAGTGGTACTTTTCTGCATCTTCCTGAACTGGTGATTTAAAGGCAAGCCAGTGGATCAGGTGCCATGCAGGTGATCCCGATTGAAAAATCGAGAGTATGTTTGAAAGTTAATAGGGTGCATCACTCCGAAGGAGTGGTATTTCCCTGCTCTTCGTTCTATCAATTTCAGCGATACTTTCGCAAACAATTCACTCAAGATCTGTCATAGGGAGCACTCATCAAATCTGCCAGTCTGCCAGATCCTCAACCAGTTGGTTGCAATGCAAAACAACGTATTCCCAGATGGCAGAGTTCTCAAAACTCTCACAACGCGGATGCACAAGCACGACCTATCGCTCTTAATTCTATTCCTGAAAACCTTAGGTTTCAACGTTTTGTAAGAGAAAATAGATCTTAAACGGAAGCGAAGTGCGAAGATGCACTCTTGCCGCCCCGCAACGCAAGATTCATTGAGAATAAAACCTCGCTTGAAATGAGAGACGCTGCATATAAAACTGCTGATGAGGCTTTTAAAGCTTTCGCATCCAAGGGAGTACCCAATTGGGACTACATCAAATACGAGGAATTGACCATTCAAAAACCATTGGCGCCTTGGAGCGACCATGGGCGACAAAATGTCTCACAACGAGAAACATTTGAAAGCGGAAGTTGAGGGATGGTTTAGAAACCGAAGGACCCGTGTTATTACTACTACACACCTCCGGTAGCTCGTACTCTGTTGGTCCTTTACGGGACGGCGCGAGATACGTATACCCCGCAACCATTATATCCTTTTTTGCGGTGTTCCCAAGTTTTTTTGTTTATAGACCGCACGTTGAAGGAATCGTTCTTAGAAAAATCAAGATTCTATCTCACCTAGGAATAACTGGCTTGAAACCTATCGCTCACGAGAAAAACAAAAGAACAAAAACGTAAGTTGTTGGTAAACAAGTCGAAAAACCGAAAGGACCGTTGCGAGTTCAAATTGCCACCGTACATCTGCCACAAATGTTAACGACGGGAATAAATACACGGCGTTCTCGGACGCCTTCACTAGGAACTTATGCGTTTTAAGACCTATTGCTAACGCCTTCCTTTCAGTCGCATCATATCTTGGCGATCGTTTTGTCGGCATTCTCCGTAGTTGAATGCTTGAAACCCAATGTTTCTCGAATGCGCTAGTCTGATTACGTAGATCTTCCCACGCCCACTTCATTCCACGCTTCCTCTCTCCACGCTACTACGCCGCGACTGCGCCCGAAGGGCCTGATCTCCGTAGGTTTGTTACGCTTTGCAAACCGAATTTTCTTGCGCAAAACTTTATTTATAGTCTTTATATAATCACAGCTGACGTATTCATGCTGAGAGAAAATTTATCCGTAAACAATTCCTTTAACAGTACTATAAAAAGAACGTGCAGGGATAACCTAGTGGTTTAGAGGACTAGACTAATGCTCTGCACCTCGCGATGACCTGTTGAAACAACGTTCAATACGCTACAAGATCTCACAACACGAAGCTCTCGTTAGTCAGTTAATAGACTCATGCCTGACACCTCGAAAACTGCGAGTTCGATCCCTGCCGAGGCTCGAAACCATGCCCTGCAAAAATTGCAAAAATGGTTCTAGTACCAGCGTCAGGCCCAGGTTGACAGGCCGGCTGATGAATACCCCAGTCACACCAACCATGTCTAAAAGTTCGTCAAAGAATCAGTGATAAAGCTAGGACGTCACCCGGAAGTGGCGCGCAGAACCCCCGCCCGAGTTCTGTGGTCAGTATGCGAGGGCTACCGAGGAGTGAACGCCACGGCCACAGCAGAAGATGCCCTAGACAGAGCGAAGTGGCGACGACTGATAAAGACAGCGGACCCTGCGACTGCGCGGGACTAACGCTAGGGAGAAGAAGAAGAGAAGATTAGAAAAAGAATACAAAGTGGTAATGCAGTAGAAGGATTATGGTTTCTGAGCCTGACAAAATCACCGGTTCAGCTTTGTTCGTTTTTGGTTTTGATTTTTTTGAAATATAAATAAGTATGGCGAAAGTAACTACATTTGCTTTTCCCTATCCCAAACGTGCTTTTGTCCAACCCTGCTATTCTGAATCAAACATTACTGTTGGGCATATTTTGTGCCATCGCCATTTACGCACTACACCACTAAAAATCCAACCAGCCTATAGACACGGCTGTGCTCACGCCGGTGCACTGCGCCAAAGCGGCCCTAAATCCTCACATTTTTACTCGATTCAGGATAATCGCCATAAATACAGAATCATTCTACAGCTTTATAGCTTTTCGAAAGAAGTTTTGAGCTTGTTACGGTTCTGACGAACCTTAAGCATATGCAGTATGAGATCACGTGATCAAATATTTTGAACAAGCAAAGATAAGAGTGCATTCCTGCCAGCTTAAAAACAACAACGGTCAACGAACAGCAGCTGAAGTACAGCACGAAATCAGTGCCTCACGCCATACTTTATGAACAAAAATGACGACAAAAAGATAGCGATTGTAAAAAAAAAAAACAGTGCCGCCATTAGGAGACATACCGCAAACATATTCCGATTCTTTCGACAACTAACGCGAGTTTTCGACGTCACGAAATCCATTCTAATTCAACTCGTTATATTCTTCAACCAAATTAGAAAAGCAGCAAATAACCTTCGCAGAGCTGCCCAAACTTTTCCGAAAGGTGATTCTTCCGGAAAAATAATCTTGTTCTTTTTCTCCTCTATGATTTTTATGCCATTTTCCTGAGACGCCCACTTTCAATATACAGATCCTCATAAGTTTCTTCAAAACTGTACAATGGAGAGCAACTTCTGGCTGCGGACTTTGAGCTCAAATGTTTTCTTATAAAAAATTTTCTATTGGAACTTTAGCATTCAATTCATCGAACTCGCTACACTTTTCCCAACTATGATTTGGTCTAAACGGATCGGTAAATCTTCAAAAGAAAACTGTTGGCTTTCATTGACAAGGCAGGTCTTCCAGGCCAAGCCACGCATTTTCAAAAACGGCTTTTCTTGTATTGGTCGGATGCATATAGGACCATCAAAACTATGTTTCAACTGAACGTGGCAGTACCAAAAAGATATAAGGTACGTTGACTGGGTCGATCCCACCGTAGCGACTAAGCTTTGCATTGGTTCGCAGCCGACAAATTTTGCCAAATCAGGCTAAATGCAAACACATGCGACTGATATTCATCGTCAGAGTACATTTTGAAGCCACCAAGTGGCCGCCAACCTTGATTGCAAAATTTAGTCGCCGCGGGGATCGAACCATCGAGGGTATCATCACCACTTTTTTGATACTACTAAAACCGTTCAGCGAAAACGAAACATGGTTTTGTGGTCCATACATGCGTCCCTACAATATGCAAGAAACCGTTTTCCAAAAAGCGCGGCTTGCCCTGAAAGACCCCATTGTGGGAGAACATGACGTGTTTCAGTAAGAAATCTTGCTCTAGGATGCGCCATTTACGTGTCGGTTGGTTACCGCAATAACATTTAGGTCCGAATTCCTTCGCCGATTCGCTAAGCCTTAGAGCCTTCAAATCCTGTGACTGGTCCTGTGCTTACGACCATCTTTCTGGTGGCCAAATACGACCCCCCTCCCTCTGGTTGATCTTTGCACAACAAACCCTGCTCAAAATCGTCCTGGATGTGCTTTGTAGATAGATGTTCAAAAGCTTGATACGGTCTATTCTTTAATTTAAGGATGTTTCAATGACGCTTTGAGCAGAGCATCATCTTGAGCAAATCCCAGAAAAAAAATCTATTTCTTATGAATTGAAAGAAATAGATTGCTTTCCGTTCAGTGATGAATCCCGTAGAGTTCGGCTGCACCGGCTGCACCAAACACCTACAATCTTCGCTTTGCATGAAGGCGGTCTATGCTGCTCTGCCTCTAATGTCAAGCGCTTTCTCGCCATCTTCTCGGCCATTCATCTACAAAGTTTGAAAGAGTTCGAAATGAGTCGGGAGCGCTTTTGTTACCGTAATTCTTGCCCACCCTGCAAAATGTTATGCGTAGCGCCAATCAAAAAAGGGATCTATTCCAAGACGCTAGGAGCCAGTGAAATTTAAGTCACAACACGGAAAAATTCAATAATAGAGTCCGTTGATTTTCAGCTGTTGAAGCAAGAATGAACCGCCCTGAAGGATGGTTTAAATTTTGTGGAATTTCGAGTCACCTTAAGAATGTAAGGTTGAACAATGTTCAGAGTTTTTATTGGATGTTCAGAGTGTAGAAAACACAGAACAAATCCTAAAAACAAAAAAATTACGAAAAGAGGAGATTCCAAACGGATTGTTTTTTGCGGTTTCCGCCTCTAAACCATGAAGATATGTATCCAGTCCAGAGAGACTCAAACTTCCGCCGTGAAATCGTTATGAAAACTGCTTTTGGATGGCTTTGGATACAATTGGTTACGAATGAACCGACTTTGTTAAGAATTCTCAAAGTTTACCCCGAAAGATTTATGTCATCGTTAGGAGCGGGAAAGCGGTGGCAAAAAAAAACACAACGATCATAAAAACTTAATCATTTTGCGCAGCGTTAATATTCTTCCACCCGCTAGTGACAACACTGGAGCCATCATAGAACCGCAAAAGAAACAGGCAAAGGCCGCCTCGGGGCAACTGCTTCGGCTCTGGCTTTCATTGATGGCGACAGCGCGCTACATAAGCAAGAATCTGATGAGGACCAGTACAGGTAGCCGAAACGCTTTCATAAGTTTTTTTTTAGCGATTTTATCCGCAGTGGGAATTATTCATGAGAACGTATAAGGACATCACCTACATTCATTAGATACGCATTCCCGAATCCACCTATTTGCATATAGATTAAGAAGTAAAACTATGAGCAGCACTTTTCTTCACTGCTCTGCAAAAGGAACCCTTTCAAGAGAATCCCATTCCAGAGAATCAAACCATTAATCCTACTGAAGCACAGGCCTATTCAAGAATTCATGACTACAGATTTGTCCGAGGGGCAAATTCACGGACCACGAGTGCATCAGTTGGTTCCCAGAAGTCATTTAATAATTTAATGACCTAATATCTTAATACATTCCCAATGACAATTGAATCCGCACTGGTTTCGGAAAATTGTCTGATACCAGGTTTACCGGACCAACCCAAGCTAATGTAAATCTTATAGCCCACAACTGTAATGTACTAACACTTATGCATTACCAGGCTTCCATCTCTAATGAGCTTAACCAGAGGTTACTGTAGTCGAGTAGGTACAAAGACGTACTCTTTCAACTGTCAGATAAAAAAGATTAAGTTTATCACATTGTTGTTATTGCACCTATTGGCTTTTGCACTTCAATCTTCTAATTCGAATTTGTATATAATATCAATTATAATTATTATTCCCGAAAAATCCCACGAAAGAAAGCATGGAGAAGCAATAGTTCACATACATACAGGTTCAGGTTAACAATTCGCAAACACAAATTTTACAATGACAATCTCTTCAATTCCACAAAATTTCATCCAGGATGAATTTTTGTGAGGATCACCTTCCCAATACAGGAATTGACACGGAAATGCAATGTTTAAGGCCATTTAATTTTTCAAAGAAAAATAAAACTAGTAAACAGTCAAACCCTAATTTGCCTCTGCTCGAGGAAGAATAGGACACATTATGTTAACAGTTTTGAGAATGAATCGAAAAAAGTTCAAAGCTCGTATGTTTTACCTAAATTATAAGGTAATGTAGTGATTCCACCACCCACCAGCCAATCACCTCACTTCTAGTAGAAACTGATGTACAAGGTTGGCTAGAACATGACACAGGGTTAACAAGGGACGCAATTGTGGGGGAGGGGTGCATCGGGTCGCAATAGTTCGTCTTTGTAACGGTGTTCTCGTATTTGCAAGGGGAGGAGAGCTGTTCGGTGCAGGAAGGAACTAATACGAGTATGAAAGTGTCTGCCTAGGTTTAACATGAATTTCGTATCTTCATGAACCAAAGCTTCTCCCAAAAACATTTGAGCATGAACAAATGTAGTCCAGCTTCAAAATTCATGGCCAATTATTTAAGTCGCTCTTTACAGGCAACATTCCAAACTTCTAACTTTCGGCCCATGTACACTACTTATATTACTTAGTGAAATCAGTGACAGAAGCGGGATCAAGCCAAACCGACAATTCACAAAGTAAAAAGAAATACATAGCGCTGAAAGTTAGCAGTTGCTAATTGGAATAACGAATCAATTTTGTATAGAATCAGTGGGAAATCTTGAGTGTTTTATCTCAACCGAACCTTGCCTGTGAAAACCTGTCCGCACTACCACATGGTAATCACTGTGAAAATCCCGTTCTTAGCTAGTTGAAAAGAAACACAAGAATGAACTTACCATTGATTCCAACATGTGTTTCGTGTCAGGATCAACTTTAAGTTGGCCGATCACGGAGGCATCGACAGCAGAGATCTCGGGCATGTAGTTGTCTCTCCTCTCACGTTCCTCTTCTTGGAGCTTGATGGAAATACCACGCACGGGTCCCTTCTCAATACGCTTCATCAAGTGAGTGATGTATCTGAAGCAGAATAAATCACCAACTAAAAGCTGTACCAATACAACCAAATTTCCATTTCATTTGCACCGGAACAGTTTCACAATGTTGCTTAGAATACCGATATAAATTAAAAACCCTTAGATTAACTACTGCTGATGCAGAAACTGAAACAAAGAGAAACCCACAACAGAATCTAAATCTCAAAAACGATTCGAGGAATGGTTTTCCATCTGCCTCTTTCTAACGCAGATTGTCTATATGGAGACACCAGTTGCGAAATGCAGCAAGGTGGGACAGAAATCAAGCAGGAAAGGAAGCTACATGTTGGATCGATCCAGAAAGGAGTCAGTTAAGCTTTTGACGAAAACAAGATTTTAAAAAAGTACGACGTGACCTAAGCTTTCCCAAAAGCTCCACTCTAAGTTGGTGCGCGTATAACAGAACTAAAACGGGACTTGTGCTTTCTCAATGGCCTCGCTTCGCCTATTGCGCATCTACCACAATTGAGAATTGTTCAAGTATAAAAATAACAGCTCGATCTACGCCAAGTACACTCACAATTTGAAATCGGCTCTGTACGCACCATAGGTATGGACCACTAAACTACTAACTATCTCCAATTCCCTTCACATTTCTTTCGTAAGAATGACCTGGTACTAACCAATACCAGGCTGCTAGCTTGGGACGTTTAGTACGTCTTAATTTTAATCTTCAGAACGTGATTCCTAAGAACCTGGACGTCAATCGAGGATGATAGCGCATCCTTCATCTCATTCTAAATGCACTGAAATTATGAGCAGAAGCAGAGGGAGCGGCGAATCCTAAGTTATCCTTATCAATCCTTCAAAGCAACAATAGTGTCGAGAAATCCATTTTGTGGGTGGGATAGGTAGCCCACGTGTCACATATTGCATTGTCGCGGCTCAAAATGGCGCTAGGGCTTTTTAAAGTGATCTGATGGCGACAAATGTGAACTTATGGACGAGATACCTCGCGCGCATCCGCAATGTGGATTGCGACGTAGAGGCTAATTGAAATACGCGCGGTTAGCGGAGCCGTGGAGCAAGCAAGTTCAGACAACTCATCCGGATCGCCCCTCGGTAACCAATGAAGAAGAGAGGAGGTACTTGTTTGGGCGTTTGCTTGCCTCATTCTCCGTTTTTAGTCAACTCGCATATACATATACATTGGCGACCGCTTTCAACTCATCAATTTTTTTCTGTGCTGTTGTTAGTATTTCGCCAATACGGCAAACGTCTTAACAAAACCTATTGGATAACTTCCTCGGTTATCATTGTGTGCAAATCCCATTTCAATGTAACGGCATGCTTAAGATGCAAAAGAGCCAAAAATCGAAAGCCGCGAAAGAAGATCAAAACGTGGGCGTTATGCATTCGCGAAATTAAATCCAACAACAGCGTTTTGGCAAATTGGTTCACTCGTAGCAGCACTGTAACTTCACTCACTATAAATTTTCATTTCAAGGAAAAAGCGCAAAAGATGCTCCATCGCCAGCTCTACGCTTTTACTTTCAGATCATGAAAGATTATGAGGCAACATTCAACTTTTCGGGATACGCCACGCAATCACGATTCGGGTGCGATATGGCCTCCGCAATGGCCTACGATGCACAGGTAATGTAGAAGACAATGCCGCTTCGAATTGATGCCTTCGCCTGCGCTCTCTCGCCTGAACAGCGGCTTATGGTTACTGTGATCTGATGCATTCAAATTTTGCCACAATATGATTGACACACCCACTCCAGAGCCCCTCCTCTCTCCAAGGCTTAGTCCTAGGGCTCACACCTTACTGCTTGAGATTTGGAGCTGAGCCAGGCGCCGTCCTCTAATCGTCTGCGCTCTAAGCTTTCGCGGCAGAGAACATAGGGGCGAGTTCAAGTAGTCACGTAATCCTGCTCTAGTGAACCACACCCGACTTTTCACGTCTCTCAGCGCGAAACATTTGTCGCTGCGG